GGGACAGGTCAGTTTGGTACCAAACATCCTCTGGTGGTGGGACTCGTCCCCAGGTGCCACTGTGAGCCCCACAAATGCTGCCATGACTCTCCTTGATGTGGGTCTGGATTCACGGCCACCTTCCCAAATCCTTTGGCATCAGGAATTTACAAATTAAGAAAGAGCTGGTCCTGAGGACCCTGGGGACCCTCAGGGCTGAGAGTGAGGAGCATCCCATGCTGGGGACATCCTGAATGGAGACCAGAGGAGCTCTGGGGATGCAGGAATCTGTCATCCTGCAGGCTGTCCCTTGGCAGCTCAACAAGAGCTCCCCCGAAGAGCCCGCCTGGGTCTTTTCATCTCATCTCTTTTGTTTCAGCCTTATTATGTAAATAGCTGATGCGGCCCCCATAATGAGAAAGTAGTTTCCCAGAATACAAAAGGCTGTAATTATCTCATTAGCAGGCGGAAAGGAAAAGGAAATGTTTCTAAGCCGGCTCACTTTTATTTCCCACAGCAGCACGAGGAAGGGCAGCCCCCAAACCGGGACCTGCCTGCCCCTAATCCTGCCACCCCCTCCTGATGCTGCCACGTTTTCAGGAGAGAAAGGCAAAGCGTGATCCTCCTGTCTCAGAAATGGTCTGTACTGGGAGGGCTGAGGGCTCTCAACTGGGCCCAGTTATCCAGAGGATGCTGCAGGTCCCTTGCAGACCCCTCAGTGCTCTCAGGGAGAGGCATAACTGGGAAGTGGGGGGTCACAGAGGGACAGGATGATCCCCACATTCCCAGACTGGATGTTCCTAGGCAAGACTCCCATGCTGGGCAGTCCAAGCCAACCTCCCAGCTCCAGCCCTAGGGCACATTACTCAGGATTGTGTTCAAAAGTAAATCCAGACATAAATCCTTTGCACAGAAGGATGGAAAATGTGCAGATACACAGCAGCTCCACAGTCCAAGAGGTGTCTGAGGGTGGCTGTGAGAATTTGCCACTACTTGACCCTCCAACCTGCCTTCCTGAGTTTGCTTTTTAGCTCTGAATGGGGAGAAAAAGATCTGCAGTGCAGGGAAAAATGGGATTACAGAGGTCTGTGTCCTGGGGAAGGAGCAGGAGTTGTTCTTCTGACTTCATTTGGCTTCTGGTTGTGGAAAAAGCTTGTGGTTGAGATCTGCATGTTTTTGCAGACAGGTTCAAGTGTGTTCGTGCCGTATTCCAGTGGTGGAGGAAAACCTGGCAGCCACCAAGGCAGGATGGGGGAAAAGGAGTAGGAGGAGGTGCAGAAAAGAGCCACAAGAGTTACTTGAGGGCTGGAAAAAATGCCTGTGAGAGACAAGAAAAGCTCATTCTGTTCATTCTGTTCCCCTCTTCAGACTGAGCAACTTGAGAAGGGTGTAGGAGAACAGGAGGTGCTGGGGCACTGGAGCCAGGTGGGAGGGGAGCTGTGGTGTCCCTGCTTCTTGAATCAATCCCAGTGGAAGAGCTCTCAGCCAGATTTGGGTCCTGCAAGGCCATAAAGAGGTGGCAAGGGACGGCCTGTGACACACAGGAGGCAGAGCAGTAGCTGAGTGGCCTTTTTGAAGGATGTGATGCACAAGAAAAGGTGAGGGAGAGAGATGTGACTCAAACCTGCACCTGAAACTAAGAGGACAAGAGAGAACAGCCTCTAAACAGGAGAGGTTTAGACTGAATATTAGGGGAAATTTTTCATGGAAAATGTCTTAATGGAAAGGGTGTCCAGCCCTGGCACAGCTGCCCAGGGCAGTGCTGGAATCCCATCCCTGGAGGGATTTAAAAGCCATGTGGATGTGGCAGAGCTGGGGGAATGGTTGGACCCCATGGTTTTAGAGGGTTTTTTGAACCTGAATAATTCTGTGATTCGATGATTCTACAACAGCAATTGAAAGTCTTGGGTTTCAGTGGTGGTTTTTTCCCCAGGGTTTGTTAATGCCTCACTGGACACAGGTGGTTTTGCTCCCTGCAGGGTCTGTCTTCACTGCTAACCCATTCCTGTCCTTCCCTTCCCACTCCACATTTCCTCCTGGATGAAGCCAAAATTATCACAGCCATTCTTTTTCCACCCTTTTCCACCATTTCTAACCTGTTCCACCACCCCAGGACACGCTGACTTTTTTCCTCCTCCAGCCAAACCAAGCCCTTGGCAGCGCTGCCAACAACCTGGCAGAGCCAACCTGAGCTGTAAACACAGGGCAGGTGTGGGCCCTACCCCCAGAAAAACAACAGAGCAGAGCACAGGGTTTATGGTGTCAGTAATTGCTCACTCGTTAAAGCCCAAACAAACCTGACTAATGAAGGTCAGGGGCACACACCTGTTACCACAGTTGGCAAAGGGGGGGGAATTTTTGACCTTCAGATGCTTTTGCTGCCAGTGCCACATGGCTGGGATGGTGCCTGTGCCAAGGCTCTGCCTTGCTCTGGGGCTCTTTGCTGGAGCTCTCCATGCCCAGGAATGATGATTTGATGATTGATTCCCTTCTCCCCTGGCACAGTGCCCGAGGTATGTCTGTCTCCCGAAGGCCTTTGTTAGGAGAGTGTTAACAATTAACCTCCTCAGGCAGAAACAGAGCCAGGCCTCCATAATTTAGTCTTAGTTAACCATTCAGCTGCTTATCTCAGAGCAATTTTTCTTCTTTTTAACTGGAAGGCATTCACTGACTGGTTTGGGTAGAGTGAAGACACAGTTATTTTACAAATTACTGTATTTACAATAACATCTAGGAGTGTCTTGAAGCTGCAGGCACAGTGGGAAACCTTGGTGAGAGGTGGGCATGCAGAGTTTGCCTGTCACAGCTGGGGAAAAGGACATTTCACCCCAGATTTTCTGCATCAGGCATCAAAATATTGCTGTCTCCAAGGTGAGGCTGCTGCTGCCAAGAGGCCACTGCAGGTGGATGGGATGGGATGGGATGGGATGGGATGGGATGGGATGGGGAGGTGCTGCAATGTGGGCTGTGTGGATTCTCAATGTCCCTGGTCAGAGAAGGTCACCCAGCCATGCTCGAGGGTGACTCTTCTTTCCTTCTAAAGGATGGATTTGGGAATGAAATGCTGGTAAAGGCAAACCACTTGGCTTCCCTCAGCCTCCCTGTGCTCATGGACAGGCTCAGCACCCTTGGGAATCTCCCACTTTTAGTTCATGTTCCCATGGGAGGGAGGCAGTTATCATGGAATCATAGAATAAATAGTTTGATTTGGAAGGGACCTTAAAACTCACCCAGTGCCACCCCCCTGCCATGGGCAGGGACACCTCCCACTGTCCCAGGGTGCTCCAAGCCCTGTCCAGCCTGGCCTTGGACACTTCCAGGGATCCAGGGGCAGCCACAGCTTCTCTGGGCACCCTGTGCCAGGGCCTGCCCACCCTCCCAGGGAACAATTCCTTCCCAGTATCCCATCCAACCCAGCCCTCTGGCAGTTTGAAGCCATTCCCTCTTGTCCTCTTGCTTCAGAGATGATGAGATTTAAGGAGAAGAAACGTCCTGGGCAAGTTTTTAGTCACACATTGCCCCAAACCTGGAAGGAGAAAAAAAAAGACTCTCCTGCTCTGTGCTGGAGTGTGGCAACGCTATTCCTGTGCTCAAAAATTGATTTCACAGTTCGGCTGAGGAACAACCATTGTAAAACCTGACTGGGAACTGGAGCTGGCCAGAAGATACAAACCCAAGGGTTGTTGTTCTCGGAAAAAAAAGATCCTTTTTGGCAAACAAAGCTGTACTGTCAGGGCTCTGTTGGCACTTCTGGAATCTCCTTAATAACATATTTGTAACACTTGTCTGTATGCTCTGTTTATCAGATCCCGGGTTTGCAGTAAACATAAGCTAAGAACAAGGGGGGTTTTTTCGGAATATTTTCTTGGATGATTCCCAGTTAAAAGAAAACGCTTGTTGTTGTATTGGCTTTTTTTTTTTTTTTTTTTTTTTTTTTTTCCCTTTTGGAAGGATCAAACTTTCCAGTGACTTCATCCTGCCCTCAGAGAGTCAATGTAAATGTGCAAATGTCACCGTGAAATTTACCCAGTGAGGGAAAAGTAACCTGGATTTCTCCCTTGCTGGCTGGGGAGCACTGCAAGGAGACAATGCCACCTCCTTGTCTGGAGCTGAGACCTTCCAGCACATCCCTCCCGTGGTGCCTGGTGTCCCATAAAAAGAAGTCACAGCCTATAAAGATTCCCAAAGTCACTGAAAAGCAGGTTATTCCTAAATTAGGAGGACAAAAAGTCTTCCCTTGATTCATAAAATCAAATGGTTGAGTGAGTCTTCAGGTGGGTGTTCTCCATCCTTCCTCATCACTCCACAGCCCAGCCAAGCCTCCAGGTGCTCAGCAAGCACCTGGATTAACCCCTGGGCACTGTGTACTCATGAACTGTCAGTGCTGATGTTCCTTGGGAAGTGTCTTCAGGGTGTGACGGGGTCATGAACCTTTGAGTGCTGCTCAGAGCACGTGTCCAAATGTCACATGCTGGATACGTGACCAGGCCCTGCCACTTCTTGCTGCTGGCAGAGGTTTCGTCACCTGTGACCAATAATCACTCGTGTTTTGGCTGTAGTGGATCCCCACACGTGCTCGTGTGATCCTCCTTTACTGCCTGTTCTTTAGACTTTCATCAGGGAATGACATGAGATCATCTGCTGGGGACAGAGGTACAAACTGCAGGGTGTCCTCAGCAGGGACCACAAAGTGTTCACTTAATGCTCTTTGATCATAAAATCCCAGAATGGGTTGGGTTGGAAGGGACCTTAAATCCCATCTCAGCAGCTCTGTGTCCTTTCCCTCTGGCACAGCAGTTGCCACATCTGCCACTCGGGCTGTACTTTGGACAGGGCAGGATGCTGGGAAAGGGGGAGGAGAAGCCTCCAGAAATGCAGTTTAATAAAAGCAAAGTTGAGCAGCGCAGACCCTGCTTTAACCTTTTTAATTCTTTTTCCATTCCATTATTAGTGCAAATAGCAAGGCCCTGTGAGGCAGCACATGGGAGCTGAGCTCCAGACCTCATCTTGCTCTCCAGGGAAATAAACCCAGTTCTGCTTTATTCTGGGAGGGCTGAATGAACATCTCTACCCCAAGGAGAGGGAAAACCCCACTGAAATGGGGATTTTTTTCCATCTCCTCTTCCTGCTGGTCCTGCCTGACCTCTGCCATCCCTGAACCTTTTTTCAAAGGGCATCATTATTTTTATCCCATCCACAGGGAAACCTTCTGCTGCCCTTAAGTCCTGCTTTAGTCCCCACACAGCCAGGATGGGGAAACCTGGAACTGAGGGTGCCTGAGACAAAAGAAAAGCATCCACTCTGGCCCATGGGGACCGAGTCAATTAACTCAGTAGGGCTGGGTGGACAATGGTCAGCTGAGTGGCCACTGGTCAGTGGCCACTGACCCTGCTCCTCCAGGTTTGGTTCAGTCACCCAAAATTTGCAATGCACCTTCTCCCTTCGGGTAATGAGATCCTTGGCTTGTACAGGTTCAAATTCTCCATTATTCAATGAGGCAACAACAAAAAAGCTGTTGTGGGTCTTTTATTTCCTTAAATAGGATTTTACACCTTTGTGTACAAGCTGATGAAGAGCATCTAGACATGTGAGAATTGGTCCCAAGGATAACTGGTCCCAGGGCAACCCTAGTGAAAGACAACTTTTGAAACCACTATTTGTATGTTATCCCTGTCCCTTGGCCTACCCAAGGTATAGCCTAAATAACAATCAAATGGAGAAGGGGAATAAAGATTTAAAAGAAAATTTAGGATGACACCTGCACAAAAGCATCTTTCTAAAAGCTCAAGTTCAGGTGAGCCACAATCCCAAGAAAGTGATGGAAATTGTATTGCTTAAACCCTGTGGGTGACATCTTTAAGGGATGTGAGCAGGCAGCACTTGTATGAACCAGGACAGGGATGGAGACCTTCTATCCCCAAGGGAACACAAACTTGTTCAAACCTGGGGAAAGTGACAGAAATAATTCAAGGTGAGCACAGCAAACGGTTGTGTCTCATTGATCCCTACTAAAATCCATGCACCTCACTGCCCTGGGAATCACAACCCTTGGATTGAGAAGATTAGGAGCTCTTTTTGATACCAGGGGGTGGGATTTGGGGAATGCTGCTCCTCCAAGGGATCTGAGGGTCCCACAGAAGAGGAGAACCCCATCAGTGGGACACTACTCCGATCTGCAAACAAAAGGCATCTCTTTAACAACCCTTCTCCCTCCTTGTCCCAGTGCCACTGAGCTGTGCCTCCACCTCACCCCGACGCTGCCATGGCCACTCTAGAGACGCTACCCGTCCTCAGTGACCCGACCTACCACCCCAGCCCGCAGAACTTCCACGGCTTCGCCCCCCGCTATTCCCAGACCATCCCCAAGAGCGCCATGGGCAGCGTGGGCAGCGGCGTGGCCAACGACCAGGAGTTCGCCATGAAGAGCGTGGGCACGCGGACGCAGAGCAGCGGCCGGCAGGCGGAGGGGCCCCGCAACGGCTACGCCGCGCGGGACATCTCCAACCGCTACTCCGGCGAGGAGAAGACCTACAAGTCGGAGAAAGTCTCCAACTCGCTCTACATCAACGGCGACCTGCGCAAGAGCGAGAAGGTGAAGGTGGATATCTGCGGCAACGTGACGGCCAACAACGAGAAGAACCTGCCGCCGCCCCCCCAGTACCGAGAGCCCGGTAACCCACCAAAGATTTTGCCGATCTCCGGCAAACTAGACCAGGTGAGAGACTCCTGGAGCAGCTGGGTGGCTGTGGCGCTTCTCTGGAAGCGCACACCTGGAGGCCTTGGGCAGTCTTGGGCGGCCGTGGTGTTTCTCTGGAAGCACACACCTGGGGGCCTTGGGCAACGGTGCAGTCTTGATGGTCTCGTTTTTATTTTGCGCGTTTTGATGTAGAGGTGATGTAATTCTTACGGTTTTCAGGGGGCTTGTTAGTTCTTGAGGAACCCAAGTGCATGAGCACAAGTCTTCCACATACAGCTCATGTAAACCTGTATTTAAATCATTGGCTATTCCAGCTTCCCTGAGATGCTGTGCCTACCTCCCTGTAGGATGGGGAGGGAGCTGGAGTTGGCTCCTGTTTCAGTAGGTCCAGCATCTGAGTCCCACTCTTATTTTGTTGTTTTGTGCCTTTTATAGGCAGTTTCCAACCACCTACTGCCACCTAAAGCTATTGCTTGAAAGCAGCCACGATTATCTGTTCACAATCCCAGTGCCCCTTGTGAGGGAAAAGGCTTGGGAACTACTCCTATCAACATTATCTCCCAGCCCAGCCCAGTCCTCATGGCTCATATTGGCTTCAGGGAGAAAAATCTCCCAGGCCTGGAGGAACAGAGCTCCAGAGCCAGCAGTGTTTTATGTAGCCTGCTGCTCTGCTCCAGTGACTTCCATAATTTGTGTCCAGTATTATTTCTGCAGCAGTTGGTGGCCTTTTCTCCTGGGTTGTTAATCCAACAGCCCCTGCAGTCCATCTCAGTCTCACACTTGGTCTCCAACCTCCAACCTGTTCAATGGGGCTTATTCTGTTTCTCCTAAAAGGCATTTTCAAAATACTTTTGCTTCCTCCAGTTTAATTTTCACCTAAAACCCAACCTGCAGTAGGGAAGACTCAATCCCATTTTGAGGAAAATTTTGTTTCTAATGGTACATTGATGGGGTGAGGAATGTGCATGGCGTTAAAATCCTTTCTAAATCCCTTACAGCTGTGGTCTGCTGTCCCTCAGCATTGCTTATGGCACAGAAAACACAAATTTCAAATGAAGAGCAGCCCCAGCACGTTCCTTGCCTGGTGTCACTGCTGTCACAGCTCCTACCTGCTCCTGTCCGAGGACAAGCAGGACACAGGGTCCCCACAGGCACAGGTCATGGCTGGCAGGAGGGAGAGATGATGCTCCTGAGGCAAAAGGGCTGCTAACCCAAGGGTTCAATTCAGCTTTCACCAAAAGGGCAATGCAACCTCAAGGCTACAAATATAATCAGCAAAAATCAGAGTAATTTTGGTCAGGTCTGGTAAGCAAGGGGCAGCCCTCCTTGTGAAAAGCACTAAGAGAACCTACGGAGTATTCTAGGGAAAAATCACGCAGGTTTGGGGGGAGTCAAGATGGTTTCCTTTCAGCTGGGGGAAGGGAAGGCAAAGTGTTGCCCTTTGAGTGACCACAGGTCCCTCATGTGCAACCCCAAACGGTCCAGGGTGTAATGAGGTGGGATAAGGAGCCAGGCAAGCCCCCACCCTGTGCCAATACGTCTCTTTTGTGTGTTGTTACCAAGCCTCCTGCTGTGTTTGATGCGTGGTCCTTTTTCCTTTTTGCAGAGCAATGAGCCCTTAGTTAGACCCTCAGCCTTTAAACCAGTAGTTCCTAAAAACTTCCATTCCATGCAGAACCTCTGCCCGCCGCAGAGCAACGGGATGGCAGAGAACAGAAAGAGCTTGAACCATGCCAACAGCAATAGCCCGTCCGCACCCAAGGGTGGCCTCGACAAGAGCAGCCTTAACAGGACTACAAACCAAGGGGGGGGGCTCTCGGATTCGGGCCGTAACTCGCTCACGAGCCTGCCCACCTACGGGACGGGCTACAGCCAGCACGTGGGCCCCATGAGCGCCTCCACGAGCCACATCAACCGCATCGGGACCACCTACGTGGAGAAGAACATCGTGGGATACAACGGGATATCTACCTCAGACAGCGGGCGGTCCTCGAGCAAGAGCACCTCGTCCTTCAACAGACTGAACCATCTCAACGAAACGATGCCTTTCCACTCGCCCTCCACCGACGACATCATCCAGGACCTGGAGGACCGGCTGTGGGAGAAGGAGCAGGAGGTGCTGCAGATGAGGAGGAACCTGGACAAGAGCGAGGCGGCCATCTTCCAGGTGTTCGAGGAGAAGCAGAAGATCTGGGAGAGGGAAATGGAGGACCTGAGGCAGAACTATGCCAACAAGTTGCAGCAGGTCTCCAAAAAGGCGCAGCGGGCTCAGCAGGCTCTGCAGCTCCAAATCTTCAAGCTCCAGCAGGAGAAAAAAAAACTCCAGGACGACATGGGACAACTCCTCCAGCAACGAGAGGAGCTGGAGAAGAAATTTGTGGCTTTCAAGAAGGAGCAGGCTGAGTTTCTCCCGAAGATTGAAGAGACCAAGTGGGAGGTAAGAGGGTTGTCATAACAGACCTTGAATGAGGCTTCCATCGCAGGGTCTGGTGACCCAAAGTACCTCCCACATGCCCTAAGTGGAGCCCACAGATAAGAGCCAAGGGTTGGTGACCCCCAGCCTTGTCACCTCACTTGTCTGAGTCCCGGGCCTGTTGATGTCAATTAAGCTAAAATAAGCACAACTTTTTGTGCGCGCCCTCCTGTGCTGGTTAATAATTTGACTTCACAGTCTGGTCACTCCAAGTTGTGACATTCAAATTCAGTTTCAGGGAACACAGGTCTTTCCACACAGGTACTTGTGCCTGCCAAAAATGGGCTTAAGTCTATTTTAATTAAATTCTTTTACCGTTTGCATTTGGGCAGACCTTGAAACTGCTTTTCAAATATTTGATTTTTTTTTTAATTGAAGATATAAAAGCAACTGAGCTAAGAATGACACTGATAGCCACGTCTACCTCATGCTTTCCATCGTAACACACTGTTTTCAGTTATTAAGTTTATCTCTCTTAAAAGACTGGAAGACAAATTTCTTTTTCTAGTTCTCCTGTTGAGTCCTACATAACTTTTTCCTACTCTTCCTATTTTTAGAACGTTTTATCAAGGTCTGTTTGTATAGCCAGTGCTAACATACCTTTTTTTTTTCAGCTTGATTATGTGAAGAATTTTAATCCTTCCACGCACAGGCTAGAAACTTTAAATTTATTAAGAGTGCAGAGGCAAAACATAGCTCTAGAATCAAGAAGACCTTATTCTGCTAATCCTGATGGAAAGTCAGTGAAGCTGGGATTAATTAGGCTCTGAAATGTGCCATTTGCAGATGTTCAGCAGAAGGTTTGGGATTGAGCCCCACGGGTTTGTGGGTGGGAGAGTAAGAGGAAGGCAGGAGCAAAGTATCACTGGTGGGGACTGCAGCATTGGGCTTGGCTGTTTGGACAACTCCAGCTGGGAATGGCATCAGGTCCCTGAGAGCCAGGAAAAAACTACAGAGGTGGGAACAACCTTTAGGTCTGTGGCATGGTCTGGGTCCTGGTGAAGGCTGAGTCCTTGAGCAGGGTCGTTTCACGGGCAGTGCAAGGGACAAGCAGCTCCCTGCTGCCATCCAGCAGCCTCACGAGTGTTCTCCCCACAGGTGTGCCAGAAGGCAGGTGAGATCTCCCTGCTCAAGCAGCAGCTGAAGGACTCCCAAGCCGACGTCTCCCAGAAGCTCAATGAGATCGTGGGACTGCGGTCGCAGCTCAAGGAAGGTAAGAACTTCCTACGGGAGAAAGAGGAGCAGATCCTCACCCTCAAAGACTCCTACAGCTCCAAGAGCGTCAACCTGGAGATCTGCGAGGGCGAGCTGCAGAGGAAGATGAGCGAGGTCCAGGTGCTGAGGGAAAAACTGAACCACTGTGAGCTGGAGGTCTCCGGCCTGAAGCGGACACTTGCCAGCATGGGACCCAGCGGGTCATTTGGCGGGGAGCTCGGGGAGAAGCTGCGGGACCCGCTGGCCTGCGAGAGCGACGAGGCCAAGATGCAGCGGCAGAGCGAGGACAGCGTGAACAGCCTGCGGAGGGAGGTGGAGCGGCTCCAGACGGAGCTGAAGCTGGAGCGGCAGCAGCGGGAGCAGCAGGTGATGGACTTCGAGGAGGAGCGGCGCACGTGGCAGGAGGAGAAGGAGAAAGTCATCAAGTACCAGAAGCAGCTGCAGCTGAACTACGTGGAGATGTACCAGAAGAACCAGCTCCTGGAGCACAAGGTCAACGAGATGAACACGAAGGCCACCAGCCCCCCGCACACCGAGGAGAAGAAGACATGGACTCCCTCCAGACTCGAGCGAATAGAGTCCACCGAGATCTGAGGAGGTGACACCACGGAATTTTTTCTTGCTGTGCATGTACTACCTACTCAAGCCAGTGATCTTCCGAAGGATAATGCGCTCCCGTCGGAGCGGTGCGAGCGTGCTCCCACCAGGCTCCATCACCCTTACTCTCCACTTCTGTGCTCTGTAGGTAAAACAACTGTGGATGTGCGTTGGTTTTCTATCGATAATGCGACATCTCGTCTGGGTTTTTTCCTAGTACAGCTGGTGAGAGTCAATTGGCTCTTTTGTAATCTGCCCTGACTGTTACTTCACTAGAGGCTGCCACCCCCTCTCCTACAATTCACCCTTCTTCGGTTGGTTGTTTTGGAGGGTTGTATTCGGTTTCTTTGCTTTTCCAAGCATTTACGTGCAGCAAAACAGTTCAAAGGGGCAGGTTTGTTGTTTTTTGAGGTTTTTTTTTCTTCCAGGATGTTTTTTAGCCACATTGGCTAATGGAGCAAAGCTCTCGAGATCATGTGCAAACTCAAGTGTTCTGCATCAAGTATCCTGTCTAGACGGTGGTCTTAGTGAAGTCAGTGCGAGCTTGGCCACTGATTTCAGTGAAACCAGACATATCTCTACCAGACGACTCCCTCTTGCTTTGCAAGAGGTTAGGACATCCTTGAGGAGCAGGATGAGCCTGTCCTGGTAACAGAAGCCAACAAGGAATGATGTCCCAGCAGGAGCCTCTCTGGAGGCTCAGCAGAGCTTAATATATGCTGCGTTTTCACTTCCTTGTGGTTTCCTCCTGCAGTTCCACTCCTCTCCCAGGTTGTGACCAACCCCGGGAGCAGAAATACCCTCCCACCTCTGCCTTGGTCCCCTTATTCTTACTCTATACCCAAGCTGGCTACAGCAAGAAAAAAAGCTTGGAAATCTGAGCTAGTTTCCCTTCCCAACAGCCCTCTTACTTCCCAAAGTCAATGGAATTGAGGTTTGGGGAAGCCTCCAAACCCATAGGATGTTTATGCAAACTGAAGCTTTAGCAATCTGCCCCAAAAGTGGGCAGTTGTGCCACCCTGTCCCCAAACGAGTGACACCTTGGTGCACTCTCTTGGTCCAAGGTCTGCTTAAAAACAGCACTTGAGCCTCACTCAGGAGTTGCAGGGGGGGCACAGCAGCGTCACAGCTGGATTACAACAGTCAGCCTTCAGTACTGCCATTCCAAACAGCACCCACAGCCATCCCATACTCCAGGGATGGAGATAATAACTCGCAGGCCTAGCTCAAGAAAATACTCAGCTACTAACCCTGAGCATGAAAGAATTCATAAGAGGGGAAAATGCTTAAGATCACGCAAGTGCTTATGCCCTGGCAGAATAATAAACCAAATCCTACGTGCACAGTCACCGAGGCAGCAAAACCTGGCATTCCGCTTGAAAACATGGGCAAAGTGAGCTCAGTTCTTCCTGTCATGGACAATTTTTACCCTGAGTCACAATAAAGAGAAGAAAAATTTGCAAAGTGGAGTTTGCACCAGCCAAAGGATCAATAGGAGTGGGAATTTTGTCTCTTTGCCCTGGGGAGCAGCAAGAAGAGAAAAATCAGAATTAGCACTGGGATGTCTTGAAATATCTGTGGGGTGACTCCAGGGTGAGTTTGGCCAGATTACATTCCATGTGCATACCAAGGAAGAACCTTGAGGCATTGAGGGGCTGAAGACCTTCCAAACAAAAGCCCTGAAGCTGCACATTTTCCATGTTCTGTCTCCCCAAAGCTCTCCTGATCATGACCAGGTCTGACCTTCAGTTTGAGAACAAACTTTGTTGTGGTGAGCTCCAGACTGATCAGGGTGAAGACTGCAGTTAGTCCCACCAGCCCAAGTCATCAGACAGTGCTCCTGGCCAGGAGCTGGTGGTGGCTGACAGAGATCCCTGGAGCCATTGAAAATGGAAAAGTGCAACAAGACCAGGGCATTTCAAGATCCCAGTTGACAGTTCCTGTCTTTTCCCACCACTTCTGTCCATGTCTTTGGAGCTGGAGGAAGACAACTCATGGAAAACACCAGGGCAGCTCAGGCTAAGCCCCTTTCCCTGGACCAGCCATAAAAGGGGGATTAGGTCAGGTCTGACTCCTGATGGGTGTGGAGAAGAGTCCGACTGCAAATCCTGAAGATGCTCCAGCACTCTGGGATGTCAGGCCATGCACCCCAGCAAGGAAGGAGTGCAGCTGCCTGCCAGTGCCACACAGCTGCAGACTTTGCCATGCCCAGGGAGACATCCACATGCACCTGGCCAGGCAAATCCTAGGGCTTCCTCCATGTCATACTCCAGGCCTTCCAGACAGAGTCAAACATCCCACAGTGCCAGGGTTGGAGATCTGGTGTCTTGCACCATCTCAGCTTTCTTTTCACATCAGACAAGTCCACGTTGTTCTCCCTCCCAAAGCAGGTGTTTGGTGTCTGTTTTGTGAAGATTTTTCACCTTGGAGGAGGAAAGGCCCACTCCCTTCTTCACTGCACCACATGGATCCAGAGCTTCAATCCAGCTCTGGGAGACCTCAACTGTGGACATTCCCTGGATGACAGAGCCTTGCAGACACCCATTAAGACACTGCTGCTGCTGCTGCTGGTTTTCCCTCTCTCGGGATTCTCCCAGGATCCCCCAAGCACCTGGCTGTCCTGCAGAAACTACCCCACCCATGCTACAGTGACAGAAAATACAGATGGTTTGGGGAGCCAAACTGCCACAAAGGATTCCTGTGCTTCAGGATTCCTCCCCACAACTGGATGTGCTGCTCCCCATCAAGTCCTCTCCCCTGTGCCAGCCCTTTGCTCAGCAGAGATGGAGCAAAATGATGGTGAGACACCTGGATTCCTACCCAGGTGGGAGCTTGCCTGGCTCCTTCCAGATATTTACACTTTCCTAAGTTGGTGAAATCTCTCATCAAAAGCTTTGTTGAGGCTCTGGGGTCTTAGCCCTGGCTTAGGACAGCCAAGGGGTGCCAGGCTGGTGTTTGGGTGACACATCCTGGGAATGGCCAAGGAGGCTGGCAGTGTGTCTCTTGGAGGCTCAGGCAGGGCTGATGGATTGTTTCTGTCTCATGGAACTCCACCCAGAGTTTGGGCTTGACCATCCCCCAGCTGTCTCCTCCACCTTGGAGCTAATGGAATTCAGTGCCATGTCCTGGCTCTCATGTCATTGTCCAAGTCCTGCCCCCAAAATCCTCTCTAACTTGCCACTGTCCACCACCACAAGCTGTGGCCATGAGGATCTCAGCTCAGTTGCCCACACATGGGGTCCACAAGCATTAGAGATGCTCTGGGATACCCAACACATGCAGCTGGACAGTATGATCCAAGATTTTTGGGAGAGCCAGGCCAGTGGTGGAGTCCTGGAGCAGCTCTGGTATCACAGGTCGCCCACGTACAGAGTCCAGTCATGCTCCAGGCACATCCACACAGCAAACAGAGGACACTGATCAGCTCCAGTGGCTTCCATCCATGAGGATGTGGGCTAAGCAAGCTACCCAGGTGCCAGGGAAGGTTTACTCTGCTGTGAGCAGGGCTCCACCACCATTCCAAGGCTGGCTGCTACCACTGTCCCAGCAACCCAGCTGGGCTGATTCCAGCACTCCCCTCTCACCCCCAGGGTGGACACCACAACCAGGGCACGTTGTTGTGCCTCACACATCCCCATTTAGCTCCTGCCACTGTCTGCTGGCAGCTGGTGGCTCCAGTCCTGCTGTCACTGGTGGCGGTCACTCACCTCCAGCTTTCCATGCTCCAGAGAGGAACAGAATTGTTGCTCTTATGCTGTTGTACAGATAGAAGTGCACTTGGATGTAAATAAGAGCCCAGCTCTGTCTGTTGATGATTAAATGGAGACAAGAAGGCTCTGTGGATTCTCTGTTGGTGAGCGGGGCTGAGAACTGAGTGCTGCATATGGGGGTGCTCAGCACCCCAACCTGTGCCTGGCTGCAGTGGGAATCTGGGCTTCAGCACCTCCCAGGAAAGCAACCCACTCGGGATTAGCACAGCCTGGTGTCACTCTGTCCTGCTTGGATACTTGCTGTCACCCTGAGCCAGGTTTGCAGTTGTCCTCTGGTTAAGGGTGAAGTCCCCTCTGCCTGTCTGGTGTCACAGCCAGACTCCACGCAGACAGTGGCTCCCAGAGGTGTCCCCCTGAGCTCTGCCCATGGAAAGGACCATCCTGCTCCCCTCCTGCCCCTTGCAGTGGCACTTTATAGCTTGCTCAAGGCAGCGAGCTCACGAGCAACATGACCAAAGATCTCTGCAGAGCGTTGGGCTGCGTGCTTGGAGCTGTGTCCCGGCTTTCCTGCAGAGAGATGAGGCTGGTGTGGGCTGGAAAAGGGGAATGACAGCTGGCAGGGAACATGATTTCCCCGTGTCCCACCTGGGAATGTTTGCAGGTCCATAAAGGCCTTTCCTGTGTGAGACAGGACAGGATAGAAAGGAGTTCCTGGGTGAGGTGATCGTCTCCAGTTGGTGACACCAGTATCCTCTACAGCCATACCAGTTAGCTCCATACATTTCCCGTGGAGAATATGGACCAGGGGATGTCCCTAGGAGTTGAGATGGATGCCATTCCCTTTCTTCTTGAGGAGAAGGGAGGATGCACACCAAGCCATGCATCCTCTTGTCTTCAGGCAACTTCACACCTCTCATCTTCAGAGCAATAGGTCTCCTCTAGGTTAGCAGCAGACACCAGTCAATCGTTCTGGCTCAGTGGGAACTGCCCAGGAAAATAAGCATCCTGACAGCTGGTGGTCTTGCTGGCTGCCCCCTTGGTGTCCTCTCCACAGCTCACCCCAGGGCATCCTCAGCACCCTCCTTACCAAGGAAACAAATTCCAAGGTGAAGGCAGAGTGCTTGGGCTGCTGAAGGCGTCTCCACCCACTTTTGCTCCATGAAGGCTCCTGGACCTGGCAGGAGGCCGGTGGGAGATCTGTGCTCCTTCAGGTGGGTGTTCAGGTGGGTCTGGGCCTTGGGCAGATGCCTCTCACTGTGACTCTGCAGCCCAGCTATTCTCAGCCTTCTCCATTCCATCCCTGGGATGGGAAAGAGCCCAGCTCGCCATTAATTTAACCCCAACCTTCAGTTTAAGCCTTGAAACCCCTTTATATAAATTATGTTCACCAAGACACCTTGCTAAAGATCAGTTCATGTGTTGCCTGTGCCCTGCTGCTCCTCCTCTCCAGGCTCTCCTGCCTCCTTTTAGATCATCCCCATCCCACTGGAGCAG